TTAGTGCATTGTGTATGCCATGTTACCTCGTGCATCGTGTATGCCATTTCATAGCATTGTGCATGCTAGGTTGTATATTAGTTGCATTTATGCATCTCATGCATATTGCATTGTGAGGTCTAGGCCGAGGTCCCACACCTCCTTGCCGAGGTGTAGCCTCGATGGCCACATTCAAAAGCGAAGTCGGGAAAATCTGGGTTTCCCTCTTGATAAACATGAAGAACATGAGTATGAAGAAGATGAACGCAAAGATCAAAACTTGTTATTACAAAAGCTGAGATTTCATGCTATAATTTCAAAAACATGGACCTGGGTACCCACACTCAAGGATCTTATCAAAACAAACACAAAAGCATAAGCCTTAATGCAAACTTTCGGATCAAACGAGGCTTTTCTTCAAAAACACATGAAAATCGTTTTCTCTTTCTAAAACCAACTTTAAATCGATGAATGCCGTGTAGAACAGGTTTGATCGTGCAATGCAGCTAGATGATCAATAAGAAAAACAAGGATAGGTTAAGATTCTAACCTCAAATCTCGAATCTAACGGCTCAAGCTCCAACGATCAAGCTTGGAAGTTCTCTCTCTCTAGCTCAAACTTCCATTCTTCTTCCTAGAGTTTCTCTCTCTAAAAGGCAAGATTGATACAAAAAGATATGCTCCTCACGACAATCACTGACTTAATCCCTCTGTCGAGACACGTGGCATCGGCTGATTGGCTCTACTCGAAAAGGTGACTGACTTGACAAGACAAGACCAAGACAAAGTGTACTCAACAAGCTAAACAACAAGAGTACTCCGGCAAGTGATGATCTCGGTTAAGGGCAAAGCTTCGGCAAGCAGGGTAACAATGACATCGGCTTGGAAGGACAACACTTGACTAAGCTGTGCCACACCTTGGCCTAGATGTGCCACACCTCGGTCTAGGTCATACCATTCCAGGAACAAAATCACTCATGCAAGGATCAAGGATCCAAAACGCCTAGATATTAACATCTCGGCCCAAATGATGCACATCTCGTCCTAGGCGACGCGCACCTCGGCCTAGATGGTGACATCTCGGCCAATATGCCAAGGTGAAGGTGGAGGTTAACCAAAGGGGTTCCAGGATAGTTCTAAATGATAAAGGTCTCGAAGGTGTCTAGGCTTAAGATGACCTCGGCAACACACCAGTCAAGAACAAAGCATGCAAGCAATCATTCAAGCAAAACAAGACAAGATTTGCAAATGCACATATTGAAACAAGATCATCCATAAATGTATGCAAGTATGACTAAGTCAAGATGAGGGTTGTTACAATTACTTTCTCAGCATCCTCTAAGGTCTTTGATGCATCAATAAAGAGACCACAGCTGTATTTGAGTTGCTTTCCAAGAACAAGTTTGAAGAACGAGGTAGGTAATTCATAATGTTGAGATTTTGCAATCTCAGTCTTGAAGTCAAATTCAAACCCAATATGTTTCTCCATTTCCTTAGCTATAGAGTGGAGATCAAATTTGATATCTGTCATCATCAAATCCTGAACGCCAGGATGTTGCACCTTGACTACAACATCAGTTTTATCACCTTTTAATCTTGCTCGATGCATCTGTGCAATTGAAGCAGAACCAATAGGATCAGCATCAAATCTTTCGAACAATTCATCAACACATTGACCCAACTCATTTTCAAGCACAGCTTGGATGGCATCAAGCAGGGTTGCAGGAGCTTGATTACATAGCGTAATGAGCCTTCTAACCCATGCAGCTAGGGCCAAGTCAGGCTTCCCAATGACTTAGGCAACCTTGAAAAAAAGCCACCAAGGTCAGAGCACATGTGAATTAGCTCGTCAACAGCCAACTCATGTTGTCTTTCCCACATAGCCTCTTGTTTCTGCACATCTTTCTCGAAACTCACTCGAAGCTGAAACACCTTGTAACCAGCGTAGATATCAGTAGCTCGAAGCCAGAATTGAAAGGAGCATTGCCATGGACTGAAGTGGGTGGAGAGCTTCTTTTGAAATTCGTTGAGATTAAGATAATCCATTCTCTCTCTCTTTCTCTCTTAAAAAATATTCCTTACACCTTTTTTGAACCCCACTCCAGCACCTCCTCTTTTCTTTTATCATTGCGTGCTTCCCTTTTTGAATCAAGAAGCATCTTTCCTCATATTATCAATATAGTTGGCAGCCCCATACACTAGTGCCTTCATTATTAACCACTAAAGAGATATATATATATATATATATGTATTTATTTTTTTATTTTTTTTATTCTCGGTCATCACAGAGTGGCCACTCGGCATTTAGGGAATCTGTGGGAGATGAGAATCCATATACATCACCATCAGAAGATTAGGTATATAATGTATCTTTCTATTCTAAGCTAACAATAACCATAAATTAATTGTACACAACCCAAAAGGATAGAGGTGAGGCACGAAAGTTGGTACACACGACCGCCTAGGCACGAAAGACTTGTGGGAGAAGACGAGACTCCAATCGGGTTCCTGGTTTGGGAGTTAGAGTCGAATTTCAGTCTAGGCAAACTAGTTCATTAAGAAATTTGAATTCGAGGCGTTGTTGCCCCAAAATCACCAAATGGGGTCAGTTTAGCACGAAACTTGGCACACACGACCGCCTAGGCATGAGAGACTTGTGGGAGAAGACAGGACTCCAATCGGGTTCCCGGTTTGGGAGTTAGAGCCTGATTTCACTCTAGGCAAACTAGTTCATTAAGAAATTTGAATTCGAGGTGTTGACGCCCCAAAATCACCAAACGGCGTCGGTTTAGCAAAAAATTGGCACACACGACCGCCTAGGCACGAGAGACTTGTGGGAGAAGACGGGACTTCAATCGGGTTCCCAGTTTGGAAGTTAGAGCTGGATTTCACTCTAGGCAAACTAGTTCCTTAGGAAACTTGAATTCGAGGTGTTGATGCCCCAAAATCATCAAACAGGGTCGGATTAGCACAAAACTTGGCACACACAACTGCCTAGGCACGAGAAACTTGTGGGAGAAGACAGGGCGCGAATCGAGTCCCCGGTTTAGGAGTTAGAGCCGGATTTCGGTCTAAGGAAACTAGTTCCTTAAGAAATTTGAATTCGAGGTGTTGACGGCCCAAAATCACCAAACGGTGTCGGTTTAGCACGAAACTTGGCACACACGACCGTCTAGGCACGAGAGACTTGTATGAGAAGACGGGACTCCAATCGGGTTCCCGGTTTGGGAGTTAGAGCTAGATTTCTGTTTAGCCAAAATTATTTACTTAATTATCTTTGTAATTATATAGTAGTTAATTTTTTATGTTTTTTTGTAATTAAAATATTAACACATAATTATATTATCCTTAACTATTTTTATTTTTTATTTTTAGATATTTCTGAGTAGCAGTTTGCTTCTTGTGGAATGCAGGCGTGTGAAGATTGCGATTAACTTTTGTTTTTGTTACCCACGGAAGAATCATGAGGGAAACTTTTGTTTTTGATTTACGTTATTTTGAATTGTGAACAACATTATGTATTTAAACGTTGTATATGTACTACGCAATATTATGTAGTGGGATAATTTTGCTAATGTGTTGTTATGAATGCAAGAATATATTTTATTATGGATGAATTGTTATTTTTATACTAAAATTTTTATATTATTATGTAATTATTGGCTTCTTTTTCAATTATTTTTCATTTAATACAGGTAATTTTAATACAGTTTTTTTTTTTTTTTTTTTTTTTTTTTTCCTTTAGGCACGGGCTTTTTTTTTTTTTTTTTTTTTTTGAGACGGCACCACATTGCCATTGCAAAAGATATTGGCAAAGTTGAAACAAAAACCTTTTGCGACGGTATTCTTTGTCGTCGCAAATAATCTTTTAGCGACGGCATGTCGTGCTGTCTCAAATAATTTTTTAGCGACGGTAGTTTTCCCGTCGCAATAAAAACACTTTAGCGACGACATTTTGTGCCGTCGCAAATAACACTTTTAGCGGCGGCAACACAATGTCGTCTCAAAAAATCTCAAATTTTTACATATTAATGGCGACAGCAGAATTCCGTCACAAAAAGGCAACTTTGCCGTCGCAAAAAAAGGCGACGGTATTGTGCCGTCGCTAAAACCTTTTAGCAACGCCCTTTGTTGCGACCCCCCACTTGTTGTCGCTAAAAGTCAGTTGCCGTCGCAAAAAAGTTTTTGAGACGGCATTTTAGTATTTGCGACGGCATTTTACTATCACAAAAAATTGAAATTTTTGTAGTGAAAAGGAGTACAAAAATTTCGTAGTAAGTTTTGGACAGATGTATAATTTCAAACTGTGAGTGTTATGTTTTGAAAAAAATACATTAGGGAGTTTTCTAGTATTTTTGTGTGTGTTACATTGGAGTGTTACGTTTGAAATTACATTGATTTGAGTGTTACGTTTGGGAAAGGTACATTAAGATTTTTTTTCTTTTTGAGTGTTACGTTTGAAAAAAATACATTAAAGAATTTTTCAGTATTTTTGTGTGTATTACATTGGAGTGTTATGTTTGGAATTACATTGATTGGAGTGTTGCATTTGAAAAAAGTACACTAAGAAATTTTTTATATTACATTGGAGTGTTACGTTTGGAAAAGTACACTAAGAAGTTTTTGTTTGTGTTACATTAGAGTGTCACGTTAAAAAAGTACACTAAGGATAGGGATGTAATAATGGCCCGGCCCGGCCTGGCCCAAGCGAGCCTCACGGGCTCCTTTTTTTTTAGCGGGCTGGGCTGGCCTACGAGCTAAAAAGTGGGGCCGGGGGCCAGGACCAAGTCCAAGCCCACTCATAATAGTGCGGGCAGGCCTCCTTTTTTTTTTTGAAAAATAAACGATAAATATATTATCTATGTAGATTATTTATTATGAATAAAAAAAATAAAAGAAGGCTTCTTTTTTTTTTTTTTTTGAAAAATAAACGATAAATACATTATCTATGTAGATTATTTATTATGAATAAAAAAAATAAAAGAAAAATTATACTAGAGTATTTTAGTTAAAATTAATGAGATGTTTTGTTTGGTTATGTTTCATGGTGGTATTTAAAAATTATGTATGACTTATGTTTTTTTTAATTATGAACTTATAACTAAAAAAGTATACAATTATATAATTTTTTTCTTTCAAAAATGAATAATTACATATATATATATGAAAATGAAACTTTCAATATTACAATATTAAATTAATTATATAACATTTATTAAATGAATAATTTTTATTTCAAAATGAAATAAAAGATTAAAAAAATTATATTATCAAATAAAATAGGTATAGATTATTGATGATGGTAGAGCAATTGCATCATTATAGGTCAAATTCATCCTAACTAGGTTGGCACCTACTAGCCTACCAATCATTTGCGTTATACTCCATCTCAATAATCTAATACCCAAAACAAAACAAAAAAAATGAAATGAAATGAAATAATAAAATATAAATTGTTGATCAATCATCGGAGGAGACAAACATTTCAGTCGCGTTGCCCGAGGATATGTCATCCAAATCATTTTCACTATAATTTTGTCTTCTTGTAAGCATATGCATATGATCTCTGGATATCATCTGTGCCTCAACCATTTGCGGTGAAAGCCTGCTCTGGTAATCGCTCAGCACCCGTTCACCTGCACTAAAAGTTGTTTCCGAAGCAACTGTAGAAATAGGAACATTTAGTATATCATGGGCCATCTGTGAAACCACAGACCACATTTCATTTTGTTTCCACCATTCCAAAATGTCAAAATCATTGGAATCATCCACTGACGGACTTTCCAAATAACGTTGTAGTTCAGAACTACTTACACTTGTATGTTGAGATATTCTTCTACTTTTTTTATTACTTCTACTTTTTTATTACTGAAAAAACACTTAATCTCCCGCCTCGAGATGAGACTGCTAGTGTAATGTGTGTAAGTGTATTTACAGATATAGCTGCCCTGTATTCTTCAAATAATATGTTGCATGTTTGCATAATAAGGGCAAACTGTGTTTGATTGACGAAAAGACGTTCTAAAAATTATTGTAAACCAATTTCTTTACACTTATAGGATCAATTATTATGGCTAAACCTAAAAAATGAGGCAAATGATCAAAATATTTATCAAATTTTACTTTCATTGAAGTAATAATGGTTACATAATATTCATTACTCATATATTTTACGAAAACTTTAATTATTTCTGCTAGCATATGTAAAACAAAATGATGAAGTAGGAATATATATATCTATATAAGAAAATAATTTTGTTAAAGTATCAAAAACTTTTAAAAAAGTCTTTATACAAGGCTACTTGGCACCAATTAAGTTCTGTGGGAGTCAGTACTCCTCCTATTGATGTTGTTGCAAAAAATAAATATATATTACTCTTCTTTGTTTACAAGCTATTTTTAACAAATTATATGTTGAATTCCACCTACTATCTACATCTGAAATTAATTTTTTAAATGACTTATTTTCTCGTTGATAAATTTTTTTATATTCCGAAATTCGATTAGCAAAAGACATAATAGTAACAACTGTATTTTTTATTACAAGTACAAAAGTCTTGTATACATACATAGCTTCTTTAATGATCAAATTTAAAATATGAGCACAACAACAAACATGAAATAAATCACTATCAACAAGTAATTGTAAAGTTGATTTTAAATGGGCTACAGTTTGATTATAATATGCTGCATTATCTGAACTAATCGTAAATATTTTATTTTGTAAAGCCCACTCATATAATGCATTTCTTATTTCTATACCAAGCGAATGACCAGTGTATGAAAGTTCAACTAATTTAAATGAAATAATTCTTTTATTTAATTTCCAATCATTATCAATAAAAGGTGCAGTGATACATTGATATTCAAAACCATTATTTGACTACATATCAGATGTTAAACAAACTCTTCCATTCACAATTTTAAAAATGTCATATAATTCATTTTTAACATCCTCAAATTTATTTAAAATCCTGTTTCTAGTAGTATTTCTTGAAAACCTTTGTTATTGCGGTGCAAAACTTTCGTGAATCATTTCGGTAAAATCAGAACATTTATTAGTAGTAAAAGGTTGTTCTTTTTTAATAATATAATCAACTATAGAATTTTGTGCACGTATAGGATCATATGAAAATATTTGCAAATTACCAGTTGATGAACCCCTAATTGCATTTGACTTTGAATATCAAATTATTGACTTTGTAAATGTTTGTTAGCATGCCTTTTTAGATGACTGGTACCCCCTGCAGATGCAACACAAAGTAAATGTGTACAATATTTACATTTTGCTTTAAATGTAATTGTACCATCAGGTTATTTATAGATATTTTTTCAAAATGTTCCTAAACACTACTATTTCTGCCTCTAGATGATGATCCAACTGTTGGAAGAGGGGTATTAGAAGGAGAATCAACAGATTCATGTTGTGTGATATATGTATCAACATTGACATAAACATTAGGAATATTAGGATCCGTAGTAATGTAAGTAAAACAATATATAAGAATTAACAATTAGTTTAAATAATGTGTAATTACAATGAGTAAAAAATAATAATTAATATATGTGCACAAATAATTAATGAAAAAAATGAGTAGCTAATAAATGTAATTAAACTAATTAATGTTACCGACTGGCGAATGCGATGGGATACAGAAATTTAGTTTCTTCTGATAAAAGTTTCTTGTTGCACAATTACGATTGTCACTTAAGGATGGCACTTCAAAATTAATTGAGAGTTGAGAGAGATTGAGAGTTTAAGAGAGATTGAAAGAGTTTAAGAGAGAGAGAAAGAGAATTATTTGTGACATTTATTTTGGAAAAATAGGATATTTATAGTAGTTTGAAAGAGTGAAGTAAATTTTATAAAATATGTATTATATATTACCGTTGTATTAAACGGTAATTTGACCGTTTGAATCTATTTATTTATTTGTTTTTTCCATTCAATGAATGAAGAGTGAGTTGAGTGATTGTGATGCAAGCATATAGCACAAGGTAGGCTAGTAGGGGCGGCAGCAGGGCAGGCTAGAGGCAAGCAGCAAGTGTGATAATGAACCGTTTGATTTTTTTTTCCATATTCATTCAATTGCATTTGCAAGCAAAGTGAAAGAGTGTCAAGGTGATGCTGGGAGTAGGTCGCGCGGCCTAGAGAGTGGGGTCTAGAATATTATATTCTTTTTTTTTTTAATTCATTTATGGTAAGGAAATGACATTAACTGTTGTGTTATTTTGTTTGTTTTATTTTTTAATTTTTGCAAGATCAATCTTTTATTTATTTTATTTATTTATATTTTTTAATTATTTAACTATTGCAAGTTGTTTTTTATTTTTATTTTTTGAAATTTAACCATTGGTAGAGAGAGGCCGGTGCGCTGGCGCGCGCTGCAGGGCCCGATATTTTTTTGGGTCGGACTGGGCGGGCTTCAAATGGAAGGCCCAGGCCCAAGGTACTGGGCTGGGTTCAGGCCGAAACAAATCGGGCCCGCCTCGATCCTCGGGCGAGCTTCGGGCTGCCCACAGGCCTCGAGCATTTTAACACCCCTAGTAAGGCGGGATTTGTTCTAGAATGAGAGAAAATCCAGAACTTCTATAGTGTGGAACTCCCAAATGTATAATTTTACATTTGGAGAACCCACTTTTATCCTTAAAAATTAAATCTAAATGTGTAAATGACTACCATTTGTGCAATTTTCATTTTAATGGGACCTTTGGGTTCATAAGAGAAAAAAAAAGGGACTAAAAGATACAAGATCACATTTTGGGATTTATTGGTACTTCACCTAAAAAAAATTCAATAAATACACCAAAAAAATTATTAATTTTTGTATTTTTAGATTTGTTTGATAAATTTTATATTTTTAAAATCTCAATTTTTTTTTAAGCTTGAAAATCAAAATAGAGAAAAAAAAATCTGGTGAATAAAAATAGAGAAATTAACTTCTTTTAGTTAAAAAGAAAAAAAAAATCAAAAAATCACTAAAAAAATTCAATTTGTCTTTAATTACTTGAATTAAATTATATTGCAAGAGATGGATATCATTCAAAATAAATGGATAATTTCACTTTACACAACACTACTTTACATTCACCCCTTTTTTGGGAAGGTGGATTTTGTTTAAAAAAAAATAAAAAGTTATAGGAAAAGTATACTTTTGTAAAATTATTCTCTTTATTTCTCTCCACCTTATTTTGTAAAAATCTAAAAAATCCAATGTCACTTTGCACCTTAATTTTTTTAATTATTTTAATCAATCTTTTGCATTCATGTCAAGTTAATAGGGTAAAGTACACTTTTTACCTTCACATTTTGCATCAAATCTTTATTATATGAAATTAGAGCGAATTATACTAACAATCCCTATAGTTTGGGCTCGTGTCACTTTGGTCCCTAACTTTTCAAATTGTGAACGCATGTAACGCCCTCTGGTAACACCCTCAAAATATAACATAAATCAACCATTCATAAGATCCATAATCATAATAGAAAGTTATACGTTTCATTCACCAGAGTCTTCTTTTACAAAAAATGTATCACGTACATTACATATTCATAATGTTCATAACTGAAAATCAACAAACTAATGCCCTACGAGCTTATACTTTCCAAGTTGTCACTTGGTTACAACAAAAGAAGAGTACCAACTCTATTACAACTAGAGCCCTTGGCTTGAAAAGAAAACATATATACACAAAATGTAACAACAAAACAGAGCCTTCAACTCTTAAAACCTCCCAAAGCTAAGACCTTGGAGGCGCATTTCACTTGTACCTAAAATAGTGTCCCAGGTAGGGTGAGCCAAGCCCAGTAGAGATATAATGCTAAACCAAATATGAGAAATAACTAAACATTAGCATTTGATAAATGGTTTAACACTTGTAAACCAACTTACACCATTTCCATAACCCATCAACATTTACGTCCATAATTCAACCAGTTTTCATTTATATTTCAATTTAATTCATCGACATGGTTCGTTTATCCAAAACATTCAAAATGAGACTACAACTCATATGACAACACTTCAATCATCAATATCATTCAAATGTATATAAGATTTCGGAATTTCACCTAGACACTCCGGCCAACTTAATTATCAATGGAGTTCTCCCCTATCTCCTCCTAAACAATGGAGTACATCCCCTATCTCCTCCTAAAACAAAGATACATATGCAATGTATTTAAAACACGTTGTCATATACAATGAACCAATTAAAGCACATATTCAATGTGTTAATCTGACTGTCATATTCAATGACATAATCAGTTGATTTAGTTTCAATTTACCTAATCATCATGCATTTTCTACAACAATCATGGCTATCCTCCACCAATAGCCCAAAACAGTTATTTCTAGACAGATAAATAAATCAATCAAATAGATAATTTATCAACTTTTCCTTAGATGAGTGATTTATCATCCAACTACACCATTTGGTCACAATTTCCCCCAATTTCACATTGTCAAACATTTCATATTTCCACAATTGATTTCATTAATTATACACTAGTTTTAATAATTCCAATTAGGAATTTTCCCCATTTTCTCAAATATTGCACCCAAGGCCAAATTTCACCCATTACACACAAAACAACTCCATTTCCAAGACCCTCACATACCTATAGAGCCCAAAAATGGAAACCACTCTTTCATAATTTCAAACTCAAACCCTAACTTTACCCAAACTTTCAAAATCCA